TTGGTATACGCGCATACGGGCGTACATGCGTATACGTTTCGGCGTATATACGACTCGACTGCGAGAGATCAGAAGTAGTTGCTGCTCCCTGAAACCACACGGTGTACCCTGTACCAAGTATTTGTGCACTTTAAGGTTCGGTTTATGAGGCTAGCTGCGGCAGCGAGTGCCTTCGCGGTTCATTAAAGCAAAGCAAAGCGCAAGGCTGGGGCTGGAATTTAACAGATAATTCGTAGCGAAGGGGAGAGAGCGAGGCTCGCTGCAGCCTACGTGTTATGGATTACTCATTTTTCTCCGGGCTCGAGCAGAGTTTCTGTTGCGCGGCTGACTTGTATAATACGTACGCACTGACTAGAATCAATTATGTACCGAAGATATAGATACTCGAGATCGTAGACGGTGCGCTACATTGTGTATACGTATACGGGGCTCGAGCGCGAGCTGGAAAAATTGAATATTCTCTCTCGCTCGAACCAGTAAAAAAAACTTTTCCTCGGCGGATAATTCACGACTGCCTCGAGTAGATACTTATCGGACGTGTTAACAAAAGAGAGATTGTACAACTGCAGTGTACTCGCGCACTTCGAGTCGACTTATTGTATACCGCAGACGCGCGATTCGCACAAAGACGATCTCGCGCCTTGTCAACGGGGGATTGTTTTTTTTTTCTTCCTTTTTTTCTTTCTGTAGCGTCGAGTGTTTCTATTAAAGTTGATTATTTCTGCTCGATAGTTTGGGAGTAATTCAAAGTGGAGATAAAAAAGGAATATATAATACTTGTTGAAATTGTACAAGGGAGGATAAGCTTACAAAAAGCTAGTATTTGAATTGCCACACGCAATCAACAAAATTATGCTAATGTTACATATTCATTGAAAATATTTTACTTGGAAACGAAACGAAACTAAAAAGAACTACACTTTTGAGATGAAACTCTCGCATAAGCTTGTAAGTCGCCAAACAATAGCGATGATAGGATTAAGCCCGTTTCGGTTGGCGCAGTAATAACGCAATATCGCTCTTGCTAGAAAATGTCCTGAAATGGAGCAAAAGTTTTGCCTCGCTCGATCTCTTAGCCTCTCGTCGCAGACGCATTTTATCAAGCAGTCGATATACCCTTGCCCATGAAGCACGCAATATGTTATTTTTCTCGCTCATTCTTACTTCAATAATACGTCATCGCAAGAGTGCTGCTGGCCACTGCCTCGCGATACGATCTCGTATCATGCGCAGGACAGCCTGGAGAGCCCCGGCCAAGAACCGTCGAGTTATATGTAGTACACCTACGCGCCTCCGAGCATACGTGTACGTGTTTGTGTGTGTGTGTGTGTATGTGCATGGGTGCAAGTGCGCCTTACATATATGGGCGCGGTGTTGTGATAGATAGCAGCAATTCTATACTATATACTATAAACAGTGCATGCGGCCATGTGTTTTTCTTTCTCTCTCTCTCTCTGCTCTTCTCTGCCTCTCTCGTTTCTTTGCTTCCTTACGGACATTATCGGGTACCCGAGTAAAATCGTCTACTCTCTCGCTCGCGGGACCGTTAAAGCATTGCAGAGAGAAGAAGCAGAAAGAGAGGATATAGACTAGACTTTGCTGCTGCAGCCTGCAGTAATATAAGTATATGTGTGCAAGAGGCCGCAGCTGTAGTACTATACTACTACCACTACTACTACTACTACTACTACAACTACTACTACTACTACCGGGGAGCCGCCCGGCCGCAAGGGACACATTTTATGCGCACACGGATAATTTATCGTATCTATATAACCCAGGCTTCAGACTCTTTGGCTATATTTCTTTTTTTACCTTTTATATAATATACTTTTGGTGCTTTTTCTTTTTCTTCTTCTTCTCCTACTCCTTCTTCTTTCTCTTCTTCTTTAGTCCAGATGATGGGATTCTGTTTCTTTCTCCTTTTCTTTTCTCTCTCTCTTTCTATCTGCGAGCTCATATAATATATACATATACGTATTTGTATGTGTACTTATACGCTGCTGCCGTTGAACGTGCGCTGCACACCCTTTCGATCGTGTACTTTATGATTGCTCTCGATAAGTGGACAGTGCGTGCACCCAAAGGTACACACGAATTTGATTGCGCATTTATATATATATATAGCATATATCTGCGCACGTACGCGAGTAGATATAGACAGGCAGGCATGGCTTTTGTGGTTTTCGAATCGTAGCCGCGCGTAAATTCATTTGGATATTGCGTACGGATGTGCGGCAATTTTTATCCGCTGACTGATCGCCGCTCTTAATTCAATTTTCTGCGTTTGATTTTGAAAGCTTCGAATCAGAGTCGTGCGAGCATGGAATGGGAGAGAGAGAGAGAGAGAGAAAGGATGAGGTCGATTGGATCGATTGCTGCATGCCATACACGGCCAGCACCAAAAGGCTTTTCGATGAATAGCAATATTCTTTTCATGCTTTAATTGAAACGCACTCTTTGGATGCTTCATTAATTTTCTTGCTGCGGAATTGTATATAGGCCAGCTGGGCAGCTTTGAAAAACAGACTCATGCACGCGCGCGCGTGCCTCGTAATGGATTCGACAGTGCGTCGTTTTATTAACACAGCGAGTTGCTTATTCAAAGGCCCGTGTATATGATCATTTTTATTATTGTTTGCGATGGAGGTACATGCATCAACCTTCCATAACATCGATCCAGCTCGCGGATCCCTTCGCAAATTTAGCAGAGTGCATTCATGTGTGCCGTTAAAAAAACCTTAAATTTAATGCAGATATCTAATATATAATATAAGATATAAAAATTAAAGTAAGCCATACTTATTTTTATTCAAGGTACTTGTACAGAAAATTTTTCTTGAAAATTAATGTATAATTTCATTCGTATACATTATTTTCAATGCAAATAAAATAATGATTTAATTCTGGATTTAAATTTAAACATTTTGATTAAAATTGGTCGAAAAATGTATGATAATGTAGCCATAATTAAGTTAACTTTCTACCGCTAGATGGCGAGTACCTTTATCTGTAAATCTACAAGTGGTAAAGTAACAAGGTTTTTATAAATATATGGATAATTTACTTTCTTTGCTGTGAACATATGTTATAAATGTGTGTCATAAAATGTATAAAATCATAAAAAAACGGAATATGATCGAAGCGAATTCATTTTTTTGTTGTTGAAATTTTCAATACTTTTTTCAAAACACTATGAGTCTAAAAAAGTCAGGGCTTTTTGGATTGTTAAAGGTACCCTCTGTGATTTTTAAACGTAAAAGTGGCTTTGAAATCCGTATCAATTTTCGACGCATCCAAACGAAATTGTGGTCTAGAATTTTGGCTTTTCTAGCATTTTTCCTAAGTTACAAAAGAATATAACCAAAGCGTATTAAAATTGCAGTGCATAAGCGTTTAAAAAATTCTTTACCCCTTACATATACATCGATTAATTTCATACGCGTGCGATTGTCTCGCAGAAGGATTCGATGATTAATCGATTTAATATCCACGAGTTCGCGTACGTAGGCACGATACATCTTACCAGCTGAGTCCGAGATATAATCGTAAGTTTCAGGGCTAATTTGTCAGTGCCCGGGTGCGCGCTATATTGGACACAAGCCTGGACCGCGCGCGCTGCTGCTGCTGCTGTTGCTGCTGCAGCCCATATTTTTATGTCGCGCCTCGAACGCAACCAAAGAAAAACATATATCAATATCGCGTGCGTGTACTTGCGCGCGCGTTCAGCAATGCAGAAAGTGATATATTTCGTACGACGAATAAAGAATTCAAAGACGCAAATGAAATTTAATTGATCACGCGCTAATGCAGCCACACTATACGCGCGCGAGGACGAGGCGACAGATTTTCATTATCGAAATGACAGAATGAACCGAGCACTGCGTTTCACCCGATGCTCGTTGAATTTCGTACCTCGGCTTCGATCGATCATCGACTAAAATATCGCCTTGAAAATAATCGAATAAATAAATAATGCGAGTTTCGCTGACCTTTGGAATTCCCTTTATACCCGTAGCTCATCTTTGCTCGCGGTGCACAATCCAGCAAAAATGTATCGCGCAATTATTAATTTTTCTGTACGTTATCCCGATGATTTTTTTCCATTGTCTCTTCGGCAGAACAAAACAGACAAGACGATTGGAGAATTAATGATGGAACGTAAATGTTGTTTTCATCGGCGATTAAGCTGGTATAACTCATCAAAGGCAATATCTTGCCTCGAAGAAATGGTAGCAAAAAATCGATAGAGTTGAGAAGACTACCTGGCTTGTATATAGTTAACGACGTACGTACGAGCAGCTGAAAATACATTTATCATTCTTGCGCTCGGAGCGCGCGCAGGAGTCGGGGCCGGCCGCGTACATCGTGAGCGCACTGTGATCGACCACGAGACGCGCTGTACAGGTGACGCTCGTCCCTGTGTAAGCGCATCATGATCTCGTGTGCGCACGCACAAATCGATCTCTTATCGTTGCATTATGCATGCAACGGGGCCCGTGCGCTGCAGCAGTTGCCCAGTCATGAACGAGCGAAAAAAAAATCTTGACACCCATTTACGAAAATTAATCGAGCGCGCCCGAAGCCGCGACGGCCGACTTTTCGAGAATCGCTCGCATAATTTTCAGGCCCTTCTCGCACGTGAAATGACCAAGTGAAATAAAAAAGAGTTACAAGATAAGCAAAGAATGATCCTGCACCGAAACGCACGATTTGTAAGGTCCACGAATTTTCTAGTTAACTATCGTATCGTAACCTAGGTTCTAGAATCGCGCAAGGAGAAAAAAAGGCGAGGGAGTTGCACGTGAAATTTTTAAAATGTGTTTTACGTGGTCCCAAATGGAGCCCCACGCTATTTCTCAAGAAGAAGGTGCAGACCTGTACCGGAGCGAAACATTTAATGCAATGTGCATCTATATATACAAACAGCATACTCATATGTGTACGTGTATCAACGAAAATATCTAATGTTTTGTGCTTTGTGTTTTGTCTTGTTGCAGCAAAAAGTCCGATTCTGGTTCGCCACGGGTGGCGCCGGTTTCTGCATCAGCAGGGCGCTTGCTCTCAAAATGATACCAGTGGCTGGGTGAGTACAAACACATACGTATACATACAAACTTATTCTCTCGCGTCACACACTCTCAGGCGTACAGTAGTGCTAGCTGCATACACACTGTGTGCACTGCATTTTTTACATTCTTTTCTGTTTTGGTATTCATCCAACACAAGAGATCTGTCCTCTTTCTCTCTCTCGTTCTCTCTTGCTCTCTTTCTGCCTGCCGCGCTTTTATTATTACATTTCGCACATCTACTTATGCATGAGACTTTTTCGCGCAGTCCGTCAGTCTGTCTCTGTCAAGTCGGTCGGCGGCTGCTGCTGATGCCCGTGTCTCTCTAGATGCATATGCACTTGTGTGTCTGTGTGTGTACGTATGTGTGTGCGTGTCTGATGTGTATAGATGCACGTGCCCTCCTACTGTCTTTCAATGACTGCAACACAGGGCTTATTTCTTATTTGCAATGTTGCTCGTCGGCCCTCGCTGGCTCACTCGCTCGCCCGCTGATTATTATTATTATTATTACATGTCTTTTGCCTGTTCACATTATGCGGGAGTCGCGTCTCGCTCGGTATTTTGCGACTGTGCTGCATCTGCAGCTAGTTTCCTTGTGCATAATGTATTTTCTTTTCCACACTCTCCGCAGGGCAACTTCTTCTCGCAGCAGACTTTTGCACGCCCTCGAGGCTCGAGTCTGCATTCGTATTCCACCCCGTCATTTTTTGCTACAACAATTTAATCGATTTTATTATTTCGGTTAATATTACGTCTAAATTTATCCACGTACCGATCTACATTATATTAGGCGTTTCATTTTTTTACCTTCCATATTGCAAAGCTATTCTGCGTATTATTTCTGGCTCGAGACTTCGTTATGTGCGCAGGCACCGCCGCACAACTTACTCCTTTTTTACTCTCTATTGTCTTGCTGCGGTCATAGTCGTTTGCATGAGATACGTATAATATAACAAGAGCCGCGCGCGCGCACGTGGTGGTTCCGAGGCTCCTCGCGTATTATATACATTTTTCGCCGCCTCTGGTCCTTAAATTGAGACGGGAGCTACCACCGTACGATATTTTTCCCCTTGGAATAAAAAGCAGACCAATTTTTTTTCCTTGCGAGCTGCGAGCTTGTTATTATATATTTCGGGAAGATCGTGTGCGCATGTGTTCTCGAAAAATATTTGAATTTTGAAGGTATTCCGATATGCGAGCGCGAGATATCGCGCGCGCCACGAGCGAGGAAAAATAAAACGACAGAGATAAATTAGCGTTCGTTGAAAAATTCAATGTAAATTACTGACATTATAAGTGAACAGCACAAGTGCCAAGTCACTCGAGCATGGCTTCGGCTCATTTGGAAAAATGCTCGAGTGTGTCTCGGCAGACACGGCAAAAGTGTCAATTATTATGAAAAGGTAAAAACTCTGCGACGACGACGACGACGACGACGTCGACGATGGTGACGATGACTCGAAAAATGTGTCATTCGCATAAATGAGCTGCTGGTGGGCAGCGCGTTTATAAGTCACACAATCAAACAATCTCGCCTGTCCTTAGTCATTTAATCGTTGCACCGTAGGTTCGCATGAAAGTCGATCGAAGAGAGAGAGAGACGTATACGTCACTCGGAGCCTCTAGAAAAATTAAACATCCTCGAGCATTGTGCAAACGATGAACTTGACTGTTCTTTCGGCTACTGCCTTTTAGTCTCTCCTTCGGCTCGCGTGTTCGCGTATGTGTGCATACGTGCGTGTCAAAGACGCGTGAGCTCCCGAGATGCATACTCTCTGGCTGCCTGAGAGCTGAAAAATAACAAGTCGAACGGAGGAAAGAGCTGCAAGCCGTTGGCGTGCCTTTTCAATGTCCTTAAACACTCTCGATCTTTCGCGCGACACTCTGGTATATACTTCTATTACCGCATGCAGTGCGCGCCTGCCTCTCTCTCTCTCTCTCACTCCGTGTATGTACTTGTTTGACTTCCGTTGGAAATGTCTTGTTCGACGACGACGCGACAAACTCTTCTTCTGCTGTTTCTTCGCCGTCGCCTTCAGACGCTGGGATTTTTACCTCGTATTTGCCAACGCGATTTCTCCTCTTTTTTTACTTTTTTTTTTTTTTTTTTTGCCGAAACCCACGATGGGAAAGAGTCTTCAAGTGCATAAGGGCGACGACTGCACGACACAAAAGTACAATCCAAATGTTGTGTTCTATAAATGTACTCGTCTGTGTTTTGTTTGCCGAGCAAATATTGACTCCATAGGTACATTATTTGCCGATCACCGATGCACCGAGCTGCAGAAAGCTCCTCTTCCCTATACCTTCATTAACTCAACTACTTTCTCGCTTCCAAAGAGCAGCCTTTACACTGATTAGGTATTCCGCTCGCCTACGATTATAATGAAAAATTAATTATTATCATGAGGCAAAATTTCATTGATTAGTTTGCTTTTATAAAACTTCGGGATAAATTTACATATTTCGTATACGAGCCGATGCTTTCGTAATTTGTACCACCATATATAACAACGCGATAAAAGCGAGCTGTAATTTTATGATAATATGATTAAAGCAAGGTAATACTGATTATTTTGTAGTTCGCGAATTTCGTGTAAAATATTTTAATTACGTACGCGCATACTCTGAAATTAAAGCCGAGATTAAAATCATGCATCGATTGCTGTATCGAGGATGCTTCATTTTTATGAAAGTTTTTATATTTATGAGCGAGCGAATGCGAGTGTTCGGAGTAATCGAATTAAGCTAATTTCATTCGAAACATCGCGAAACTTTACGGTTTGAACTCACGTACACCGCGAACATTAAGTGTAATCTACCGAACGAGGAAGGCCTAAAAAAACGCGCAATTAACATTGTTTGAGCGAGTGATACGTACCGAAATTAAATTAATCCTTCATACGGAAGTTGAAAAAAAAGCGAGTAATTATGGCTGCATGCGTGTACCTGTCAATAATATCATACCAAATATGATACGATATTCCGTACGTGCACAGCCGATCGTAGCAATTAGGAGCCGAATAAATTCAAAAAATCATTATTACGAGAACGACTTGATTAAATTCCATTGGATTTTCATGCGAGATAAATCGATGGACGCGAACATGACGTGGTTGCCCGGAGTAACTCGCGCGTACATGAGCTTGCATTTGATATCGATTTTTTCTCAACTCCTCGCCGCCGTGTACCCGTCCGTATCGTGGCGTACACGAGACAAAAAGCAATTGACTTTTGGCACGTAACTTTCGTACATATATTCGTGCTTCTTGTCTTGTTCGATTTTTTGTTCGGCTATAATGAATCATAATCGCTTGACAATTCGAACAATGACAATCGTCAATCGAAAGATGAACTTTCAAACGCAAGCGCATTGAAAAACGCTTAATCCGTTTTCATAGTTTGACGTCAAAAGTGCAGCATATAAATTGAAATTATTGGCTTGAAAAAGTTACGGTGCGCGTAATGGCCTTGGATAAACGAAAAATAACTCGGTAAGAAAAAACCAATCTGCGGTCGTACGGGCAACGCCGTATGAAAAAGCGATCTGTGCGGCTTTCTTGCGTCGCTCATGTACAAATGTAAACTCATTTTTTTCGTAATGAAGACGGGCGTACATTGCCATCGAGGCAAGCGCGCATAAGAGCAGCATATATACCGTACGTACTCTCTCACATATGTATGTAATGCCAATAAAATTTCCAGTCGGTAACATATGGGGTGGCATATACTGCTGCAGTGCAGTATAGTGTCTGCAGCGATATGTGAGAAAGAGATGCGCTTACAGCAATAATAAAGTCGATATTTAGTTCCTTAGCAAAAAAAAGGTACGGTATAAAAAGATCTTCGGCAGTCGAAATCGACGTGCAGATGAGTAAGTACTTGTATGAGTATTTGTACGTGCAGCGAATGCACGAGTTACATTACCTGGACAAGTAAAAAATTGCGACTCGTACGAATGAAAGTTGTGAGAAGAATGAAATTATCTTGGAAGCTTATGATTTTTGTAACATTGAATATTTTAAACTTTTGTTTACTCGCTTCCGTTAATGAAATCAAATATAGAGATCGCATGTTTGCCATCTAGAAAAACTTTGAACGTGAATGCCATTGTAAAACAAAAGAAGTGACGATAATATGTCAGAATTCCTTCATTTTTTCTCAGTCAGTTGCTGCTTATTCCAACTTCAAAATGATCATTTATGTTTAAGTATATAACATAATGTGTTGATTTACATTGAGTTTTACATTGAGTTAGGGACAGATTTCAAGTATTTGTCGGGAAAAAGAAGCGCACGATAGAAAGAAAGGCACTAGTTTTCTAATTTGGTTGTTCTGATCCTTTGCTTTATTGAGACATAATAATGCAAGGGGTAACTTTAACTCGCATTGCTTATTAAAATTCAAGCTATATTTACGTGTTTTTTTATCATTATAGACAGGTTTTTCATTTCATTCAAACAGTTACATGAGAGTATTATCCTGCAAGTGTCTGTTTATACGTCAAAATTGAAATATGTCTCACCGCGGCGCAATGTTTTTGTACTGTTAGATTGTGTTTTTTTTCTGTCGAAATCAATGCTCTGTTCGCGGTACATATATTTAATCCCATTAAGTTTGAAAATGGTCAAAATGAGCGACGCGCATTGGCCGAGAATTCGCACCAGTTATCGCCCATTAAAATTCCAATTCGTCCCGTAAAAGAAAGAAGTGGCGGAGTATTGGCCGAAAAAAAAACAAGGAAGAAAAAAGCGCGTTCGGAGGATAAAAAGAAGAAATGAGAAAGTAAGAGAAGAGAAGAAGCAGGAGGATCAGGAGCAGGAGAAGGGGGAATCGAGAGAAACAAAAAGTCGCAGCGAAAAAAGTCCTACGAATGTTTTCGTTGCGCTTGCTTGGCTTCCGGAATCTCGGCGGTGACCCTGCTATATATACACGCGGATTTTGCGCCTCCTCCTCCTCCTCCTCCTCCTTTGACTTCGACTCGGTGTGTACACAGCAACAATCCTTCTGGTGT